AATCTATTCACCTTATATAACCATAAACAGTGTGAGTAACACCTCTGACATCTGACGTACCTTCAGCCCAGTATCCATACACTTAGTTAAAACAACAAAATGATTTCACCTATAACTAATTGATCCATGAGAGTAAGGGGTGAACAAAGCAAAGATAAGCTGGATTAACAGTTTGAGATTAACAGATTAAGACTGACTGAAACTGAGTAAACGATTATATTAATTAACTTAAGATTGGTTTGTTTAAACATATTATATTTCGAAAGAAAACTGAATTGTTAAACAAGCATGTTGGCTTATTGTAACACTGCTCCAGGAAATACAGAATTGGTTTGTTGTTATAAGCTATAGGTGTATTGGCATGTCGGCATTTTGGGAGGATAGGTGTAGGGCAATTCCCCACCAGGTCATTACCCCATCTGCCATATCCCCACCTGGTCATTTCCCCACCTCTTTGGAAAGCAGTGTTTTTATAACAATTACTGATCATAAGTTTTGAAATACATCTGAATGAACTTCCTACTTTTAGCTGAGACTTTGATAACAAACATTTAACACCTCACTGTAAACAATATCAAAATAAAAAATTAAAATGGTTTGTAACACTGTATTTACATCATGAGACCAAGCTGCCAAATTTGGACTCCACTCAAAAAACAATAACAAAATACCTTACTCCAAAACAGACTTAACAAATAAAGTTAACAAGATAACAATAAATAAGTTCAATTATAACTGGCAAATAATAGGAAAACATTATCCCCACTTATTATACTTGCTTGCATAAGGTTGCACTTGCTTGCATAGGTTATTCCATATAATCGTAGTCTCTACCAGTAGAGACTACGATCGCAATCTCTACTAGTAGGATCGGAGATTCTACCAGTAGAGACTCCAATCGCATAGGTTTTTCCATATAATCGTAGTCTCTACCAGTAGAGACTACGATCGCAATCTCTACTAGTAGGATCGAAGATTCTACCAGTAGAGACTCCGATCGCAGTCTCTACTGGTAGAGACTCCGATCGCAATCTCTACTGGTAGAATCACCGATTCTACCAGATCGCAGTCTCTACCCTGACATATATATGCGTATTACTATAAACATTGCTCTGAAGTTTATGTCCACCGTCTTTACAGACAGTAGCCCAGTCTAGGGTCATGCTCTGTTGTCCCCCTCTGCCAAATCTTCTCAAGGTAGCTAATAAGACCTAGGTGTGAATACACAATGCCATTTACACTTATCTGAGGGGTACAAAAAGTCTGTGGTCAGTACTACCAGTTGTCTGACTTCCATTTTGTGGAAACCGTGGTGGCTGAGTTGGTTAGGAGACTTGAGTTTGTGTGCTGCCGATTAGGTGCCTGACTCTGAGGGTGTGGGTTCGAATTCTGAATTGGACTTAACCCAACAAAAATTCTAGAATATGTACTTAATGAAAAAAATTGTAACCCCAAATATAACATAAGTTACAATACCTAGATGGCAGTGTTACTGTTAGACTGCTGAGTTGAAGTCCTAGATCAGTGCCCCTTTAAGTGTTCCCCCGCATTTTCAATGGTATGATGAAATAGATGGCAGTATATGTAGATGTGAGCTGTTGCCTAGCCCATTGTGTCAGGTTTCCATACTAAAAGATAATGGCCTCACTTTTTTTTATTACTTCTAGTTCAGTGCAGTTTCAGACAACTTCTTACCATATATTCATGTGCTATGCCAAGTGAGACACTTAACCGCATAGCCTTGCATAACTTCATAATAGGGATTAAGCGAGATGTTACATGTTGTTGCACGTCTCTGTGTTCGTCAGTGCAGTAGAGTTTTTTTTGTATATGTCATGCTTGCATTCAGTTAAAATGTATTTGCTAAAGGCATATCTGTACACAATATCCTACAGCATTGCATAATTTAATGCACGCAGTTGCTTTTTGCCTCTATATTTGTTTGCAGGCATCTTATAATTACTAAATTTTCATGTTAATGTACTTGATCTTTTTTATGCAAATATGCAGATTATCTGTTGTGTTAACAGTTGGTTAAAGTGGTATCTTTAAAGTACCCCTGCACAGCTGGTATAGATTAACGCTTGGTCTCTGAATATATATAATTTTGATGTAAAGGATAAAACATGACTCCGAGGTCTTGGTTGGGATTGTAAAACCTGAGAGCAGCAGGGACGGAGCTTGTATGGTTCATACTGACAAACAATCTCATTTTTCACAGCGATCCATCGTAGCCTAGTGGATAAAACTGCCAAGCTAGAGAGTGAAGGGTTGCAGGTTCGAAACCAGATATCGCCACTATATATTGGAAGTTTTAGATATATTAGATTAGATATTTTACGATCAGTCATAGCAAGACAAAGTTGTATGAATCATAAATAATGGTCATTTCAAAACCTCATATCAGGATAAATCACGACCATTTCAAAACCTAGGTTATAAAATGGTCGAAATTTAACCTGATATGAGGTTTCGAAACGTGTACTTCAAAACCTAGGTTTAGAAATGATCGGTGCAAAGTCACGGCAGAGGTCTACCCGATTCTGGAGGGAACCTACTTTACTGCAGAGAAAATCGGAGATAGGTTTATAAAGTAACAAATAAACCCATATTGATTGGCGCCCCAGTGAGAATGGAGATTCAAAACCTGAGGAAATCTAGACTTATAGTAACGAGCAGAAAAAATGCGACAAAAAACTTTATTCTACTATCAAAAAAGCAGAAATACATTGTTTCTAGCTGCCAGTAGCTTGCCTCGTTGGTATGGAATTATCTCCCTTGGGTTCAGGGATGGCTTGATCACGTGACCTTGTTGCTAGCACAGGGGCGTGTCACGCTTAGAAACAGCGTTAGAAAGACATATAGGTATATAGACCCTACCCTAGTACTATATAAAAGGAAAGGGATGTAACGACGGAACCACCCCCTCCTCAATCTTAGTTAGATTTCACCACGTAAACTATTTTTAAGGCCACGTCGAGGCCTACGGATCAAAAGCGAGGTGATTTCCCTACAAAATGAGCTATAAATGGTCACAATCGGATCATTATTTCAAAAGTTATACCCCACGACTCACCGACATGACATTTAAGTGATCTGAGCAGTAAATTTGTAAGAATAATTTTAGAGGTTAAATATTTATAAATATAATTTCCTAAAACTGAATCAATATCGAAAGCGTTTTTACAACCTCTAAAATTATTCTTAACAATTTACTGTTCCGTACATCATCCAAAATAAAGGATTATTGCAAAGTTCATATTTCGCGCCATTAGCAAACAGTCAAAATCTTACGGCATACTATATTTTCCGTCAATCAGATGGCCCAATTTCGTTTCTGCGGATCTGCTCAGATCACTTAAATGTCAAGGCCATCTATGGCCGACAAGTGAGTATGATTGCCGATGGTTTTGGAGAAAATGCCTGCTTACTGTCGAGGAAATGATTTGTAGATGTTGCAATAAGTTTTTAGACCCGAAGAATGGCGCTGCCGATCGAATCTAGCCCTACATAGGTGCTGTCAACGTGGCTGGAATTAATAAACAAATTTAATAGGTGAGTTTTCGCTGTCTTGGGTGATCCATGATTTTGGCTTGGAATTGCGGAGGTAGCTGTTTTCGGTGAGTCGTGGCGTATAACTTTTGAAATAATGATCCGATTGTGACCATTTATAGCTCATTTTGTAGGGAAAGCACCTTGCTTTTGATCCGTAGGCCTCGACGTGGTGAAATCTAACTTAGATTGAGGAGGGGGTGGTTCCGTCGTTACATCCCTTTCCTTTTATATAGTACTAGGGTAGGGTCTATATACCTTTATGTCTTTCTAACGCTGTTTCTAGCGTGACATGCCCCTGTGGTTGCTAACAGACGATACCGAAGCTTTGCCATGACGTTACAAAACAACAGAAATCGACTCTTGGCATATTATGAAGCAGGTATTACATCCGTAACTAGACTTGTGAAACTGACGGGACTGCATCAGGCCTCTGTTTACCGAAATTTGAAGAAATTTGATGCAGGGTTTAGGGACAGAGCGACAGGCTGGATCGGGACGTCGTGCTACTCTTGGGGCAAATGACAGACGACGTATCGCGCGTCTTGCGGCGGCGTACCCAAACTGGTCTGCAAAACAGCTTGCCGTGAAGGCGTCAAGTCAAGGAACCCCTAAGGTATCAGAATGGACAATCAGAAGATCTTAAAGCAATCTTGATATGTCAAGCGAGTGCCGAAGAAAGAGGTGGACGTAGCTGCAAAATGGTTCCAAAGTTCTCACCCAGTGTCATGGTTTGGGGTGTTATAGGCAAACTGGGGGTAATGCCCGCTGCTAACTATTACAGGAAGGATGGATTCACGCAAGTACTGTCAACTCATACAAGAAGGCATAGTGGAATCCCATATAGGACAGAGTGGAATACCTTTCAAACTTTTACAGGACAATTCACCTGTACACAAGTCAAGACACACCTGTAACTGGTTTGAAACGAGTCACGTGACCCTACAGAAATTTCCAGCAGCATGATGACACCAGACCTGAACCCAATTGAAACTGTGTGGCAGATTATGAAGGACAAATTAGAAAAGTTGGAACCGAAGAGTGTCGTTGAGTGGTCTAATCTCATCAGTCAAATATGGGTGGGCCTACCCCAGGACAACATAGACAATTTGATTGACAGCATGGGACGCCGTATTCAGCAGTGCATCGAGAGAAATGGTGGACTAACAGACTATTGACTTGCATAAATGTAAACTTCAGTATCCAGAGTGGATGTATGAAACATATAACTGAATTTATCAGTAGATAAATTTTGAAACTACGTCTGTGAAAAGTCGCATTTTTTCTGCTCGTTACTATATATGTGGAAATAATGTGGTTCAGGGACTATGAGACAGACTCAGGAAGGCTAGGGAGTAGGGGTGGGTATTGCATAGTATTTTCATATTGCGATATACTGTGATGCGAAAGCATATATTGCGATATGTATTGCAATATATTGCAAGAAGTATTTTTAAACAAAAAACTACTTATCATCGAGTCAATGCTTGATTTATGAAGCATGCACACAACAAAATGACTATGCTTGATGAAGCTTTAGTATAACTTTTAATCATGACAAAATAAAAATGTAAAGAATATTTGGCACAAATGAAACAAGTAAATATCCGAAGACTTCCGAGTGTTACAAAGTTTTTCGAATGCAAGTCAAAATACCGGTTTTCGATCAGTGTATTGCAATACGTATCGTTTTCATGTCTCAACTGGTAAATACTGGTAAACCGGTTATATTGGGCAGCCCTACTAGGGAGTAGGGAAACTATTGCAGTTCAGGAACTGAGATAGCCTTGCTCCAAGGCTGTACTGATTGCTTAGGCCAATGCATGTAATATGATGTATAGTAATTCTATCCTTTGAAGAGGCAAGTCTTGACAGGCAGACAGTAGGACCCCAGACTGTTGATTATATTTTCTTTAGAAATTATCATTAAAAACTATGAATTATTACCTTAGAGACATTTGCAAGTTTAGGACTGAGACTAAGCTTGGATGATAAATGGCTGTAGTTCAGAGCTATTTCTGAAACAGTGGAGGTGTTTCTCTGACCAGTATTTGACACCATGTTTCAATCATCTTGATGAAGGTGTGTGTCAACTGTAATATAATTAGATAAGTCTGCCAGGAATTTGCCTCGGGGAAACAAAATTCATACACAAAGGCCTTGGACAAGAAAAAAATCATTTTCTCAAATGCTGAAAGCAAACATATATAATAATTAGAGAAGGAGATCCTGTGATCATTGCTGATTGCTGTCTAACTTCAAATATACTCATATGTTGAATTTGTTTTCTGTTACCATGGTTACAGACAAAGTTTCCACAAAGTAATTGCTGTGTGTAAAGTCCCATGTAGACTCCTGAATACCTGAACAATCTGGTCATGGCAGCTGTTGCCAAGTGTATAACAAGATCATGTCCAATAGCATGTTTGAGATTACATCAAGTCAAGCTAGCTTCCTAATCAATATGGCTATCTACTAAAATGAAGTCTCAACACAGTAGGGTATCCAGGCCAATGAGTCCACAAGGCCGCCTGCTACATAGCATCTGCCCAACAGGGGCAAGTATCCAACACAAGGCTTTCACTCAATATCTATACTCAGCACTACTCAGCAGCAAAAAAATATATGTCAGTACGAATTCAAAATTAGATAGGCATTGTAATCAGATCATTACAGAAATGGACATAATAAGCAGATCAAAAACATTTTTTGTGTACAATATCTTAACACATAGATGAATAACTTAGCACAATTCCAAGACATTACGTGAACGTTTGCAGTCCACTCAGACCCTTGACTTCAGTATCTAGTGTGACCACCACGAGCGGCAATAACTGCAGCAGTGTCTATATGCATGGAGTGCACCAATCAACTGATGAAGGCCATTGGCACCTGGAACCACACTCTGAGAAAGGGGCTGGCGCAATAAATAGGCTGTGTTCGGCCTTGGTATGACATTATTCAGTCTCCTTTGAATTTCATCCCAAAGTTGTTCAATTGGGCTGGCCACTACATAATGTTGACACCGTTCTGCTGTAAGAAGTCCTGTGTAGCTCTGGCAGTATGGGCCTGTGCGTTATCATGCTGGAAAATGTTGTTCCGGTGATGTTCGAAATGTGGTATGACGTGGGGTGTGAGAGCTTGGTCAATGTAGTGCACTGCTGTGATGCCGCTGCCTCTCCCTGGACCAAGGTTCTGGAACACCACAGGACCCACTCTCTGGTTCAGGCCTATTCCACCTTATACCATGATGCTTGCACCTCCCCATGAGTCTCTTTCCATAACACATTGGTCTGAGTAACGCTGGCCACGTCGTCGCCATATTCTTGTTCTGCCATCTGCAGTTGATACGCAGTATCGACTCTCATCTGTAAACAGAACAGTTCTCCATTGCCTGTATCACCAGTTTTGGTGTTGTAGGGCAAAATAGACGTTCACGCCGATGACGAGGGGTGAGGATAGGTCCACGGTAAGGTCTACGGCAATGGAGGTTCCCGCTGTTAAGACGTCGCGTACTGTATCAGTACTGATTGGTCTTCCGTGTGTTCCCACTGTCTGGTGTGCTGTTTCGGATGCCTGCATGAAGGGATTCTGTACATGCTGTCGTACAACATGGCGGTCTTGTCGTCTTGTGGTCACCCTTGGTCTGCCAGTATGGGGGCGATCATTTGTGATGTTGGTGACCCGGAAACGTTGCTACAGCCTGTAGATGGTCCGAACGTTGACCTGGAAGTGATTGGCAACGGCTAGTGCCTGGTTCCTCTCTGCTGTCATGAGTCGCGGCATCCTGCTGACGTTGTAATGTGAATGTTTCAACCAGGTTTGGGGGTGCATTTTTTAGGGCTGGTCCTTGTGAACAGCACGTGCAGCATGAGTTGCATGAAAAACATGGAGAACACCGTACCATCTCCCGAGATCAGGTTGTGTTTTTGAGACCATTTCCTGGGTTCCATTATGAGTTTGGGAAGGAATGTCTTTGCTCAGGTCAAGTTGGAGATGTTGTTAAAAATATACAGTCAAAACATTAAATGAGTTTACAGTTATCCGTTGCTGCGAAGGAAAATTCCAAACTGATGTTTCTTTTGCTGCTTAGTATATATTTTTGAAGCTTTGTCATACCCTGAACATCTGTAGCCCTACATAGTTATTTTCAGATGGATGTATTTTTGAAAAAAATGAATGTTACTACATTCATGTGGATAGTAGGTAACCGTGGTTTTATTAAATACTAAACCTTGTAACATATTTTAGATTATAAATTATATATAATCATACTAATTAACTTGTGTCTGTGTTCATATGAAAGTGTGTGAGTTCCCTTTCACAACATACATCTTCACCAGCATTATAGTGATTACACGTAATTTGTTATGGTATCTGTTCAACACACTTTTATCCCTAAGCCAAGGGCAACCCTCCCATACTCTTCCTGCTGTAATAGGTACAGGTAACCCAATTGTCTAAAGCAACACCACTTGCTGCAGAGTTATTGAACAGGTGACCAGGACACAGGTGAGGCAACCCTCCCATACTTTTTCTACTGTAATAGGTACAGGTAACCCAATTGTCTAAAGCAACACCACTTGCTGCAGAGTTATTGAACAGGTGACCAGGACACAGGTGAGGCAACCCTCCCATACTCTTCCTGTTGTAATAGGTACAGGTAACCCAATTGTCTAAAGCAACACCACTTGCTGCAGAGTTATTGAACAGGTGACCAGGACACAGGTGAGGCAACCCTCCCATACTCTTCCTGCTGTAATAGGTACAGGTAACCCAATTGTCTAAAGCAACACCACTTGCTGCAGAGTTATTTAACAGGTGACCAGGACACAGGTGAGGCAACCCTCCCATACTCTTCCTGCTGTAATAGGTACAGGTAACCCAATTGTCTAAAGCAACACCACTTGCTGCAGAGTTATTTAACAGGTGACCAGGACACAGGTGAGGCAACCCTCCCATACTCTTCCTACTGTAATAGGTACAGGTAACCCAATTGTCTAAAGCAACACCACTTGCTGCAGAGTTATTTAACAGGTGACCAGGACACAGGTGAGGCAACCCTCCCATACTCTTCCTGTTGTAATAGGTACAGGTAACCCAATTGTCTAAAGCAACACCACTTGCTGCAGAGTTATTGAACAGGTGACCAGGACACAGGTGAGGCAACCCTCCCATACTCTTCCTACTGTAATAGGTACAGGTAACCCAATTGTCTAAAGCAACACCACTTGCTGCAGAGTTATTGAACAGGTGACCAGGACACAGGTGAGGCAACCCTCCCATACACTTCCTGCTGTAATAAGTACAGGTAACCCAATTGTCTAAAGCAACACCACTTGCTGCAGAGTTATTGAACAGGTGACCAGGACACAGGTGAGGTAACCCAATTGTCTAAAGCAACACCACGTGCTGCATAGTTATTGAACAGGTGACCAGGACACAGGTGAGGCAACCCTCCCATACTCTTCCTGTTGTAATAGGTACAGGTAACCCAATTGTCTAAAGCAACACCACTTGCTGCAGAGTTATTTAACAGGTGACCAGGACAAAAGTAACGTGATTTGTCTGGAATGTGTAGGAAAATATCAGTACAGGCTTTGTAACCTTTCGTCGGGACTGGCGGGACTGTCTTCAGAGTAAGGGTTGTAGGCTGGTGTGTTTCCGATACATGACTACATTACAGGACATTGATCACGGAAGTATTCATGTGATACAGAGAAATATGAAATACTATATGAAGTTTGTGGTTTGATATTCATGATTGTAACTAAATAAATACAATGTAAGTTGTATACTGTCTTTACAGTGGAATCTGTCAAGTCCGGACTCTGTGTAATCCGGTTTTCTCCATAATCCGGACTCAAGTAACTCTCTGAGTCTCAACAATATTGTTCTTAATTTATCATTAAATCTTGCTTTATAATCCGGACTCTCGGACATGTCATCGGTTCCCAATTGCGCAGATCGATGCTCATGCTGTTGATCACTGGATTGTCTGGTCCAGACTCGATTATTTACAGACCGGCGCCATATAGCTGGAATATTGCTGAGTGCGGCGTATAACTAAACTCATTCACTCACTCTCAATTACGGGATTGCGGACTAAAATAACAGTCCCAACAATCAACTTGCTATGAGAACAATGCCTTGTAATCTGGACTTAGCTGACTAAAATAACAGTCTGTTGAATAAACATCTCCCTTACTTCTATTGGGGTCCTAATCGCTGCCCTCCGATATTAATAACTTCGACCTGCATTATTCACAGCAATCACTATCATATTGCATCTGTTCAGGCATCGAAGTGAAGTGTAGTTGACAGAAACTGGATACCTATACATATTTTGTTTCGCCAAAAGTTGTCTAATCCGGACTGCTTTACCATCCGGATAGACAGATTCCACTGTAATATGTGTATTCTGTTTACCATTTTTACTATACACAGTGCAGTGTTTGTGTTTTTCTTAAGGATGTGGTTGGACAGATGTAGACTTGGGCATTGTTTGCCGTTTATTTTTTAAGGATGTGGTTGGACAGATGTAGACTTGGGCATTGTTTGCCGTTTATTTTTTAAGGATGTGGTTGGACAG